GTTGGAGCACGTGGTGCACTACTGACCCTCCTCAGGAGTAGGGTCCCAGTGGCGATGCAGCCATAGCTGCATCTTCTCAGAGATTATCATCGTCTTGACTTCATCTTCATCAGGGACTATTGGCGCTGAGCTTCTTCTTCATCATCTGGATGGTGATTGGCTCTGGGAGCCTGTTTCACTTGGGCGCAGGCCACTGAGTTGGATGTCAGGGTGGCGCTGGGTGTTACCTGGGGTTTCGGTGCTATATTTAGCTGTTCAGGGTGTTGGGGTTGAGGCGCTACCCCTCTGAGGGTAGCGCAACAGGGTTCTGGGGTCATTCAGTGAAAACGATGCTCTGATACCAACTTGTCCATAGGCAGACCCAGCACAGGATTGAGCTCCTGCCAGGTGCGGTCCCTCCCAAGGGTCGTATCTACAGGATGTCCCCTGCTGAACTCGATGAGCTCAGGAGACAGCTTGAGGCCCTGACCAGCAAGGGCTGGATCAGACCCAGCACATCTGAATTTGGGGCTCGAGTTCTCTTTGTTCCAAAGGGAAATGGACAATTCAGAATGTGTGTGGACTACAGAGGTCTCAACAAAATCACTACGAAGTCTACAGAGCCCCTTTCTAGGATTGATGATCTGCTGGACATGGTGCAGGGCTGCACAATCTTTAGCAAGATCGATCTCAAATCTGGCTACCACCAGATTGAGATGGCTGAAGGCGATGTCCACAAGACTGCCTTCAAGACCAGATACGACACCTACGAGTACCTGGTCATGCCTTTCGGTCTTTGCAATGCCCCTGGCACATTCCAGACAGAGATGCATCGCATACTCAGGCCTTACCTGGACAGATTTGTAGTTGTGTACCTGGATGATATCCTGGTATTCAGTCGATCTGTCGAGGAGCATGCGCAACATCTGGCTCTAGTTCTCCAGGCACTACATGAGGCCCAATATAAGATCAACAGGGAAAAGTCCTCCTTTGGAGTGACTTCTGTGACTTATCTGGGACATGTAATCTCTAGGGAAGGGTTGGCTCCTGAAGCGCCTAAGATTCCAGCGATTCAGGACTGGCCACAACCTACCACAGTTCGTGATGTCCGGTCATTCTTGGGACTTGCATCCTATTACAGGAAGTTCGTCAAGAACTTCTCTGCTATTGCTGCACTCTGACTGATCTTACAAAGAAAGACACCCACTTTCTTTGGACACCAGACTGCCAGCAGGCTTTTACACGCCTCAAGGAGGCCTTGATGCGTGCACCTGTTCTGAAGTTACCTAACCCTACCTTGCCTTTCGTACTAACTACTGATGCTAGTCAGTATGGGGTTGGGGCGGTACTTCAGCAGGATAGTGGGCGTAGTCTGCAGCCAGTTGAGTATATGAGTAAGAAGATCAAAGTCAAGAAGCTGCAGGATTCAACGTACGAGAAAGAGTTGTATGCTCTAGTGTCAGCGCTAAAGCATTGGAAACATTTCCTCATGGGCAGACACTTCCAGATCTTTTCAGATCACTCCACCTTACAGTGGATGAAGACCCAAGGGGAACTTAATGACAAGCTTGCGCGTTATATTCAGTTCATTGATCTCTTCGACTTTGAACTGAAACACAAGAACGGATGCTACAATCGTGTAGCAGACGCCCTTTCTCGTAGGCCTGACGCTCTCTGCATGATCTCCTCCACTCATACTTTTGGAGAGGGTACTCGTCAGACCATTGCCCAGTTATTGCCACAGGATCCGACTTTTGGCCCAGTTGTTAGGAATCTACAGACTGATCCTGCCTCTGAACCAGGATATATTCTGGTCTCAGATCTGCTGTACACTTGCAGTAGAGGAGAGGGGCGTTTGTGCATCCCTCAGGACCGCCAGCTGAGAACACTCATGATGTCTGAGTGTCATGATGCTCGCGGCCATTTTGGGTCCTTAAAGTCGTTGGCTGCCCTGTCGCAGCAGTTCTTCTGGCCAGAGATGAGGAAAGACATGCTGCACTATGTTGAAACCTGTGAGTTGTGCCAAAGGAACAAGGTCGTGCGCCGACCTCCCCTTGGCCTACTACAGCCACTTCCCATCCCTGAGGCACCTGCACAGTCAGTGTCTATTGATTTCACTGATCTGGGGAGAACTACCCCTCGCGGTATGCGTCAGGTTATGGTGTGTGTTGACAGGTTCTTTAAGTATGCAAAATTTATTCCTTTGCCAGAGGAAGCCAGAGTCCCGTCCGTACGAGCGGCCTTTGCTGACAGGGGGGTTACTCACCATGGACCACCCACCTCTATTGTCAGTGATAGAAACCCGCGATTCTGCAGCAATGAATGGCAGTCCTACTGCAAGGACTACCTTCATTCCAGGCTGAATATGACATCTGGTCATCATCCTGAAGCCAATGGGCAGGCTGAAGTGATGAACCAGATTCTCTTCCAGCTGCTGCGTTCTGTGATCAGCCCTGATCAGCAGGATTGGGATCTCCATCTAGGACGGGCACAGCTAGTGTACAACACCTCTGTACACTCCTCCACAGGGTTCACCCCTTACCGGTTGCACTGGGGACGTGAACCACGACAGCCTCTCGATGACATCATCGATAAGGCTACTCCCAGACTGACTCCTGGGACTGCAGAGTTCACCAGACAGTACCAGAGGGACATCGAACGAGCCAGAGTTAACTTGCTCAAAGCCCAAAAGGCTATGATCCAGCAGGCTAACAAGCATCATCAACCATCCCCCATTCGAGCTGGTGACTGGGTCTGGGTACTTAGTTCTGAGCTATCGCAGGAGGAGGACATTTCGCCTAAGCTGTTGCCGCGTTACATAGGTCCATGGCAGGTTTTAGATACAGTGGGGGCTGACCCTTTCGGGCCTTCCTATCATGTAGATGTCCCACTGCATCTACAAACCTACCCTGTCTTCCATGCATCCAAGCTGTTGCCTTTTACACCGGCTGATGCATTTCCAAACAGGCCTCCACAATTCGGTCCCCCGATCCCTGGGAAGGGATATGAGGTGGAAGAAGTTGTGGATGAGTATGGTACAGGCCCGGATAAGGAGTACCTTGTGAAGTTCCTCTACCAGCCCCATACTGAGGATCGCTGGTTTACTCGCAAGGAACTTCTGAAAACAGCCAAGTCTGTTATCCTCAAATATGAGACTGCGCAGAAGGGAGGGCCCCTTCGACGCTCTGCACGCCTACGCCCCTAGCTCGGAGGTCCTCGCTCCGGGGGAGGGTAGGTCTGCAATGACTTGCTGGTTCCAGGTCGCCTGTAGCCTACAGTCCGGTCTAGGTCGGTCTAGGCTAGAGTAGAGTATATATAGAATGGGGACATCGGTCCTGGGCTTTTGGCAGTTGACACTTTGTGGTGGAAGTTGCTGCGCACACGGTATCAGGTCGTGGTTGCTGATTCCGGTGGTGGAGACAGCGGACATAGCCAGACCTTCGGAGCGTTGACCA